AATCCTTCACATGTATAAAAAATGGTTGTCTTATCAAATTGATATACCAGCAAAGTTTTACAACATAGAAAAACAAAATGATGCTTATGAAACGCCAAAAGACCAACTTTCAACCACACTCGGTTTGCAGGCACAGTAAACCGTGCTCGAAAATCGACTGCCTGAAATTCGAGTGTGTTTAAAAATCGAGTGTGCTTTGAGAAAATCGACTGTGTTTGAAAGTTTTCTTTTTGGCGTTCCATAGATGCCCGGATGCGAAAACTTCTGGTAGCCCTTGGTTTTCGCCATGGAGGTATAACATTTTATACCTCTGTGGTTTTACTCAACTCAGATTATGCTTGCTGAGGGAGGAGAGTATTATGGTAATTACCCAACAAGTTGCAACACGAAGAACCAGTAGCAGGAATAGAAGTAGTTTAACCATTTTATTGTTATAGGCCTATCTATATTCAAACTCCTCTGTTACAGTATATATTTTTCGTTTAAAATACACAGCACATATTTTAATCATTTTTCAATTCAGGAAATGCTTATATTTTTCTCAGAAATTAAGTGATTGACTTAAGATCGTTCGATTGACTATAAACAGGAAGTATTTCCTATAGAAAACGCCTAAACATCTTTAACTTACGACTGGTTTGTATTTCCAAACTTAATAAATTAACGTATTCTTGAGGATGACCTACCATCTTCAATGAATTTCTGGTTTGAGGACCCCTATGGAAACAAGCTCATAGAGCTTATAGGGTTATCCTCTTGCTCTCATTTTTGTGTGTTTTTATGTACTTGTTTTTTTGTTTTGATATAGGCCTATTATGATACAGGTACAAGAATTGGTTTACGAGTTGTTTACATTGCGGTCACAGGATTAAAATTAAAAAAAGGCACATGTACATACTGTACACTAGAAATGTGAAAAGTATAAAATTCATAATATCATTGTCATTATATTTCACTTTTATTCATATAAAAAAAAAATCAATATAAAAACAAAAAAGTGGTCACAAGTCGTGGCTCGAAATCCAAACTGCATGCGAATTTTTTCGTAAAAAATTAAGATAATATATACAACATTCAATTATATTAATAAAAACAAGAATTGAGACAATAAATACAGCAATTGATAATGAATATAATAATTGAGAAGATACAGTAATTGATCATTAATATAAGAATATTTGTATAATTATTGTATGCCTACCGTATAGATTTTTTTTAGCAGTGTTCTTACCATTATTATTGTTGTTATTAATATTATTAATAATATTATTAGGCCCGGTTATTATTTTAATATTATTTTAATTTACTTGTATTCAATTCCCTGGGTCCCTAAAGGTCGGGGCCCTGGGGACTGCCGCACGAGAGCACATAGGCATTACGCCACTGACGAAGATAGAGCTGCAAATTGTTTGCGATAATTTCAACTCCCTGCTGACGATATTATAATGAACTGTTGTAGACTTTCGATAGCTAAAATAGAGGCTTTTCGATCGGAATTCTCAATTACATTTTTATAGCCATGATCTCTTTAGCTTCAGTTGCGCATGCCCAATCATGGCATAAAAAAGTTTAATTATTCTCATTTCTATTTCACACCCTCTTCGCAGACGCCGTCGGCTTGGCATGCTCAATGATTTCATGAAACGTCGTTTGGTAACTCATCATTTCACTTTATTCATATAAATATCAATAAATAAGCGGGCACAAGTCGTGGCTCGAAAGCCAAATTGTATGTGAGCCTTAAAATGTCAGTAAAAATTAAGACAATAGACCTATATACGAAAAATTAATTATAAGTATAATTAAAGGATTGAGACAATATATACAGACTAAATATAACTGCACATTCTCGACAACGTCATTTACTCTTTGCGCATGCTCACTGTCTGTCCAGCACTTCCAAGCGCATGCTCACTGTATTTTACATAGATCTTTCTAAAACGTTCCTTGGTAACTGCGCATGCTCATTGTTCAGTTAGAAATTCTCATTCTTTCGTAGTAAATGCTACCACTTAGCCCTACCAACAGTTTCTTAATGACTGTTTCCCCTTGTTCGTAGCAGCCTAAATGTATGTGCGGCGCAAAAAAAATATATTAATTTTTGAGAGGCTTAACCAGGCACTAAACCGGCTTACATAATTAAGCAAAACCTAAGCCTACAGCACTTTTTTTCTGTTTTGGGGCCTCAGCTGAGGATTTCACGTAGGCCAAGACTGCTTTGCGTTACGGTTTGCTCGGTTCCCACTTGGAAGCCGCAAAACCCTCGCATTGCGTCACTTTGCGTCGATACTTTGCATCTGCGTTGTTGCGTTGCGTCTTCCTAGTGGGAAGCAGGGAACAAATCCTATGAACCGTACGGATAGCTGGGTACGGTCTATGAACACGGCTTGTGGACGTGACGACACCTTTATTGACCTTTCGCTCTAAGATTGACTTCAATTATGGATTAAATTAATTTACGTCTTTTTATCTGTGGAAGTGAAGTGGCAACTCAATGGTTAGTGGGTAGTCTATTTATGGAGATTCCTCCATGTTTGTACTTGAGCAGTACGCGTGACTCAAGCAGAAAACCCCGGTAAGCCATACGTTGTCATTTTATAAATTCAGTTAGGTTAATAGGTCGAATATATTTTTCATAGACACTGTTAACCGTTACAAGTATTCGTTCTACCCAGCCGGAATTAACAGAATATATATGAGATAATACATAATTATTTAACTGGCCTTTGTGGTCAGTACCGTACCGTATTTATTGAAATGGTGGCATGTGCTATACCCTGTGAAAAGCAAGAGGCCAGCTGTAGCCTGCAGTCCGAAACTGCCATTTGTTAGACTAAATCATGAATGGTCGGCTACATTAATCAATAACTAATAATAAGCCTACATTTATTTTTAATATGTTACTTATTTCTAATACATTAGTTAATCTAATATAAGCAGGTCTACAAATTCACTCCCTAGTTTAAGGTTTTCATTGAAAAAAAATCCGTAAAAAAAGTGGTTTTGTCCCCTGTGTATTGCAGGCAAGTTTTACCTCCTCTTGTCATTTTTATCATAACTTTAAATGTGTTTTAAATAGAATTTATAATAGCACTATGAATTTTATTATTAAATGCGTAGAAAACAAAATTGATGTTGTAATTTTATGACGCCAAAGAACCATTCTAGATTGAAATTAATGTATAAATGCTTGTTTTTTTACTTATTTACGGGTTTTATCCTAACGGGACAGCAGGATGTTTTCAGGGATACTGTTCGTGAATAAACAATCCGGATATTACCAATAAATGTTACGGATATTGACATAACCTAGCATTTACGTACGCGGAATCCAACGAAAGCATTCGGTGGATTTGAAATACCGACTACGTAGTCCAGGCTCAATTTAGTGGACCTAGACTTTGCTATTCAGGCCTAATTGGCCTAATAATAACGATGAGAGAAAGACCAGGCCCGTATTTAGGGGGTTCGGGGATTCGTCCGAATCCCCCGAACCCCCTAAAAAATTTAAATTTTCGGAAAAAAGGATTCCATGTAGCGGAGGACAGAATAAAAATAAATATAAATTTTTATTTTTATTTCTTTTTTTCAATTTTCATGGCGGCTCGTACGCTAACACACTTATAAAAAAAATTTATTTTTATTTTGAAATCCACAATTTCCGAATCGGAGGGTTCGCTAAACAAGGTATAAAAAAGTCTCGCCTTATTTAAAGCACTAAAAATGTATATTTATTTATACTGTAAAAGGGTCTGAGGTCTATCACACTGAATAAAGTCCCCATTTAGGGGAGAGAAGAAGTATGAGGGTTTTGATAAGGAGTTCCGCATAGTCCCAAGCCGAACCCCCCCCCCCCCATTGAAATCCCTAAATACGGGCCTGAAGACACTTAGTGCATCTAGGAGTCTTGAAATGGAGGGGGGAGGGGTTACTGGGGAGGGGCGAAGGTGGATGAGGGCCTTGATGAATAAGTGAGGGGACGCTAGGTCACAAAATAAGTTGATTTATGAATATTTGAGTGTGATTGGCTTCGGACATTTTCATTGGGGTGGTGAAACCTTTTTTGGGCGGGGGTATTTTTTTGGGCGGGGGAACTTCCTAGATGACGAACCTGATGATTATTATGTTGATGTTGATGTTGTTGATGATGATGAGCACAATGATGATAACACGCGGTTGCTGCTGGTGAGGATAATGATGGTGATGCTCATGAGGAAAATGATGATGATAATAATAATAGGCCTAAAAATAATAATAATAATAATAATAATAATAATAATAATAATAATAATAATAATAATAATAATAATAATAAGAGTAATCATATATGTTTTCGTTTTAAATTGACAAAAAATATAAGGTAACTATAAATAATCATGTATTACCTTGAGCAGAGTAACTGCACCTTCGCAATTCGTTCGCATTCTATATTTAGATACGAAATGATCATTCCACACGCGTATAATAATTATGCATGAACAATCGCATGTTTCATAAATTCTGATGATTACCATCGATTTCTACCCTGCTGTGCACATCTGCTTTGAAAGGTCTTCCTCTCAACCATGCATAAAGAAATTAAACTACAAGACCTACCAATTTGAATCCAATAACCGGTAGACCAAAACGATCGTTGAACGTTTTCTGTTCGTCGAGTTTTTTAGATTTAGCATACAAACCCAGTTCTCTCGCCTCGTTATAGTCAAAAGATTCCACTTTCTGTCATATCTACTTTGGTATGATTAATTTGAACCGAATATATGAAAATCTCCAGATAAAATGGGTATCTGCATTATTGAATTAACGAGGAAGAATCTAAAAGTGTAAAGAAAGTTGCTCCAACCGGACCAATCAGGGGTGGCGCCAGCAAAGGGGAGAGCTCCCCCCCCCCCCGTCGGAGGAAAATCACAGTTCGTCGGGGAGAAAATCAAATTGTATGTATTTTCTACATTTAGGAGAATATGAAATCGATTAAATAAGCCTTTGAAACCCCTAAGTTGTCAAAATTTTCGGAGGCTTCTTTGAGAATTAGTGTATCTTTGAAGTTTTGGAGTTGACACTGCATCATTGTTAACGCTAACGTTCACCCTTGTATCTGCGCATTCTCATGCTACACACCAACTCTTTTTTTTTGTCGCTTCTCAGAATTCTTGCCTTGATATTCTTTGATACTATGTCGCAAGCCTATTATTTTCCAACATTACCCGCATGTACACAAATCATGTTATCAAACTTTGACCAAATAATAGAAGTTTGAATAATGATAACAAAATCCATATTTATGGTGTCGTCCCACTAGTATGTATTCAACGAAGTGATCACGTTCGTCTAGGCCTACACAGCTTTGCATCTCCTGGTAACGACTGACTACAACATTAAATCAAATGTCAATCAATATTAGTATCACCTTTTTAGAGGTCAGTTTTTGAAAATTTGAATGGTAATTAATGTTGTTATCTTTGTTTACCGTTGTTAGTCATGTGGCTAGACAAAGGTCGCTGTGATAGCTACATGGTGGGGTTACGGAGCTAACTTGTCCCTTTGACTGCAAGGACTGCATGGTGTGTGGTGGGTTATGAGCTTAGCCCTACTGACTACCTATAACTGCAAGTGTTGGGGTTTACGAAGATAATACTATTGAATGACTAAGGCTGCATGTAGTCTGAAGTTATTACAGTAATGTTTTAAATGGTTTTATAAATGGTATTTTTGTTTTTTTATGTATCCTTGTATATGTTGATATTGAACAAATGAATGAATGAATGGATATAGTAGAATATTCGCAGGGCAAATACATTTTCTCGTTAGGTGGGAGAGTTTCATCGTTAAGTGTATCATTGCTTGGTTTAAACTAACGGGTGATTCGTCAAAGACAGGAAACAGTGGACGGATCTATGTACATAAGTCGCTGGTGTCTTTGATATTCATAACGACAAGATTGAGATCCATTTTCATCTCTTTCCCTGCCGGTTTCAACATATTTTATCTCAACTATATCCCGATTACATTATATAATACTACCTCCATAAATAAACTAAAATAAGTTCACAACTGTAATTTAGTAGACCTATATAATTATTAATTATGAATACCTTGTATATTTTTCCCACTTTGGTGAAATTTAATTTAGACTTAGTATTCTCACTTATCTCAAATTTTTAATAAAATAATTTTATAATAGAAATAGGCTTGTTTATGTTATCGTTGTATTAATTTTAACGTGTTTTTTTCGATGTTTACATTCAAGTACTAGGTTACACGACCGATAGAAATGAAGAAATGGAGTACGATGTGTATATTTATAATGGTTGTGTTTTCAATACTGAACACATTTTTACTCTATCAATACGCGAAATCCGATGATAAAGTGCGCCCTCATCGCTCCTTCGGATTTGACAAACTTTTCGCTTTCAGTTCAGGGATGAAGCAAATAAACACGGCGGATATACAAGCAGTTCGACGTCTACAAGGTGATGCTGTATATTCTTTTTCATCGGAATATTTACCTAATATGCCCCTGAATAAACTATCTGCTACTAAGCTAATAATGGAAACTGCCGAGATGTATACTGATTTATATAAAACAAAGGTAAGCCTACTGCAGTATGACTATGATATTGTAATCAAATCATTGTCTCCTTCACGGCTATTGAAATAATTATCCAAAATAAGCTGCACACACACTTTTAAGTCCAGACTGGTCTCCCTCTACAGGTCTCCCTCTTATTAAAGACCCTCCAATTAAAGACCACCTCCAATTAAAGACCATTTTCTGTGGTCCCAAAATAATGTCTTTATCTTTATTATTCTAATTACAGACCAAAACTCCTAAATACCATGGAACCCCGGTCCCAAACGTGGTCTTTAATTAGAGTTAGATATGCACTCTCAAACTGCACAGTCAGTTTGATTGCATGCGTCTCACTGTTTGTAGGCCCTATGTATGTTATTTCACAGAATTTCTTTCCGATTGCTAGATATTGGATCGTAAATGCAATACATGTGCTGTAGTGACGAGTTCAGGTAGACTACTAAACCAGAGTGCGGGTTCAAAAATTGACCAATCAGATTGTGTTATCAGGATGAACAACGCGCCTGTAGCAGGTTACGAAGACGACGTCGGGGCACGAACCGACATTCGTATAGTTGGAAATGTGAACTCGAAGTTTTTGCAGAACCATTCTGAGGTGCTTTTTCAACCTCCGAGGAAGAACGCCAAGAACAGACCAGTTATCATATTAACTTGGCTCTATAACGCTACTGTTAATATGACGGGACCGGAGATGATTGTCGCAAAGAATCTGTCCAAATATTTCCCGCGTTTTCAGTTTTATATCCCCACAAAATTTGCCTTTCTAGTAGTTGAAGATATCTTCAGGTTTGAAACTGGTTTTCAAAGGTAACAAAAGTTTGTAGGCCTAATGTGGCTTTCCTTATGACAATCAAAACTGAAATAACCTCTTGTGGAGGTCTATTTGCCTGACTCATGTTGGTCATGTTGGCCATATTAACGATAAGCCTAACAATAATATACAGGCCTAACAATAGCAATGATGATAATGCAATGATACCGGTATATGATAATCGTGGCAGAGATATTTATATTTATGATTTGCAAGTATGTTTACATAATTCGATGAATAATTATTTCTATTTTAAGTATTTCTATTATTTGTATCTGGATACATTATACGTTTCATTCCTAACTAGGCTATATTTCTTTTATCGATTACCTGGATATTTTAGGTCAAAACTGAATACATGGTTCACAACTGGGTGGCAGACGATGTTGCTTTCTATGAGCATATGTAATGAGGTTCATATCTATGGTATGCCGCAGTATGAATTATGCAGGTGAGTTCTACGGCCCCTACAGTGCAGGGGTGGCGCCAGGATTTGCCCGACGGGGGGGGGGCGATGCCCCGACGAGGGGTCAGATTTCCCCAACCAAAGCAAAGTGGGCGTGGTCGAGCTTTGATTAAAAGGTATCGAAAGTTGTCCTGGGGGCGAAGCCCCCGAAAATTTTGACAATTTAGGGGTTTCAAAGGCTTATTTAATCGATTTTAGAGTCTACTAATATGTAGAAAATACATATAGTTTTTTTTTCTCCCCGACGTATTGTGCTTTTTCTCCCCGACGTATTGTGCTTTTTCTCCCCGACGGGGGGGGGGAGCTTTCCCCGACGGGGGGGGGGGAGCTGGCCCCACGCGCCCCTCCCCCACCCGCTGGCGCCACACCTGCTACAGTTCATTCTGTTCTTGCTTCGAGGATATTTTTTAATGTAAACTACAGTATTCACATCAATCAGTCTATTATTTATTATTAACGACAGCTGCATTAAAACATAGAATATTAATAGATACGTACTACATTTTTACGACGAGGTCTCACGTCATGTCGAGTGTATGGTTTAAACAGAAATTACCGTAGTTACGGTGTTAACAAAATACATGATGGATACCTAATATTTATAATTCATACAGGTTGAATCGATGAATATGCGGCTCATCGAAATGATGACAACATGCCTCGGAATACTAATTTTAAGTACCGTATGTCTAACTTGTAAATGGGACCGAGGATGAGAGAATCGAGGTCAGTAGCGTGAGACCATTGTGCTCTCAATGACTAAAGCCAGGGCCTGGGCATTTGATGGATGAATTAATTCGGTGTTAACTATTTCCAGTGGTGTCCTTCTGGTGGTGATTGGAAAGTACAGAGACAATCCCCTACTCTTTCTGAAGAATCATGTACCGCTTTCTTTAACGTGCAAATGGGCATACTTCAAACGGTGCTCTATCGTAACTTGCATTTTAGCCTCCAGCTGAAATACAAGAATAGCAGCGATGGGAATTGAACAGGGACCACACAGTGGCGTAACGCCGACGCGCTATCGTGTGGCGGTTTACAGGGGCCGACCCCAGGGGACCAGAAAGAGCCCCTAACCACATGATCTTCAATCTAGCACCCTGACCCAAAAGGACTTTGTTGATAGGCCTACATAACAGCATGTGTCTCTGACATCGACTATATACCATATTATCATCCAGTTACGAATCGAGCCCCCTAAATTTTTAAATCTTACCGTAAGTTTGTGGGTGCTATTTCCGGCCATTTAGAGGTGCCGTGATCATAAATTTTCTTACCTCAGTCCCAACCATGGTAGGGTTGAGGTAGTATTGACCCTTTGTCAATGAAAGCCTCCCTGGGCGCTATGAAACAGTCCTGGATTTGCCACTCATATCATATAATTTCATAATTGAAGGCGAGCACATCTAAAATCACACAATGGAATTCGCGACTGATACCCTAAATCCCCACTCTCAGGAAGCCACGAGAACTCCAACCCCACCGTTTTACGCCACGGGACCAGGAGATCTTTGTGGTTCAGCGCACACACAATGGCTACCACCAGTTTAGCCGACTGAGCTAAGCTACTCTTATTAAAGTGACATGGGTCTTAATCGCCATTTTTTGCCAGACCACAGGGACCTTGATTAGCAGAACGTTTAAAAGACATAAGCCTACGCGTACGCCCTTAAAACGTCAAAACACCGGAACCGACGATGATGGATTCATTCCGTAGTCCTACCAACCCGGAGACCCACAGGGTCTTCAGCCTTGGTCAGGTGACCCAGAAATCTTCGTTACAAATAAATTTGAGAATACAATTAAAAAGTAGACAAACCAAAAAAAAAATACATGTGAGTTGCTTTTACGACTAGGCCTATATCCGTTTAGATAAAATTTGCCATAAACGAACAAATCTTAAATTTTTGTTTGTATTTTGCATACATAAATCCTCTTACTACAATGAAGAGGAGATTAAGTTAATTCGTACGTTTTCACAGACTGTAAACATCCCTATTGTTTATTTTCAGAGAATCAGATCCGACTTTATATCACTATTATGATAAACAAGGACTGAAAGAATGTGAATACTACAAGAAAAGTGAGATAAACCCAGATACTGGTCATTTATTCATCACAGAAAAAGCGATTTTTGCACGCTGGGCAAAACGATATAATAATATTCACTTCCACTACCCGTCGTGGAATTTATCATCTGTGGACGATATCAATCTCAACTCGCCGTTTATTCGAGAGCTACGTTTGGTAACCTTACGAGATATTGAACTGTTACGTAAACAGGCAATACCTCAACGGCACTATAAAGTTCCAAAAGAACCTTTGTATTTAATACTGTTTACTTTCTCTCTTATATTCATCTTAGTTCAAGGATTGAAATTCGTTAAATTATTGATACAAATGTTTGATGTCAGAAAAAACACATGGTAGATTTCACAGATAAGGCCTATTATTAGTTTTGTATATCTTTATTTAGCTGTGGTCGTAGGCTATGGCTCATAATGTTACGGACGTTTCTGGAGTTTCAATCATTAACACTAACCAATCCGGGAACAGATCTAGGAATATGGGCTTGTCAAAAACACGTATTGTCCCCCACGAATGTTCGTGTACGTACGTTTACGCTGTCGTTCTGTATGACTTTAGAAACAATATCCAAAGGCCAGGACTTAACGGATAGGTCCATTGGAGAGCAGAGCATCTCCTGATCAATACAAAGAGAAAGATGCTGCCAGTGTTAATTTGAAAACCTACACCAAATCGTTTGGTAAGTAATAATAATAATGGGTGTCACGAAAGCTCAGACCACGAAAGCTAAGACCTAAGACCACGAGATCAGACCCACTCGAAGTATCAGACCCCGCAAATTAAGACTCTCAACTAAGTATGCCAGGATTTACAGACAATAATACCTTTATTCGAAAGCTAACATCAATATATAGAACTGACTAATCATGAAATAAACACCAGTTAGTATTATCGATACCAGCCATGGAGTTATAATTATTTTGATAATAATAACTCCATGTACCAGCTAGGCACCTATTTGCGACGTTTACTGGAGAAAACAAATACAGTACAAATAAACCGTTGTTAGCGTACAGGCTAGGCTACTCCACGGAACCGTATACGGTTTCGATATAGCGGTTTTTAATGCACATCGTGCGAATATCTGATATATACTGTATTATGATTCTCGATCGTTCTCGATAATAATAATATTAGTAATAATAATAATAATAATAATAATAATAATAATAATAATAATAATA